ATTGAAAATCAGGAACACAAAATTATATGTATCTATATCTATCCTATGAGCGCCAGTGAATTCAATCTGAACTGGAACATTTATTCGGACATCATCTTCGATGGCAAGTTTAGTGATGATAACTGATATGTAAATTACCTTCAAATCAGGTTAAATTGCTACCATATGAACGGTTCTTTATTATTATTTTTTTTAAAATAAATAAATAGTGGTCCCACTTCTCTTTTGGTGACTCGACCCATGACCTATTGGTTATAGGTGAATCGTCTTACTACTCAAGCTGAGTTTCGTTGTCACTATATGAACTGTTCTTTTCCTTTGAGCTCGAGTGACCTGCAATACATTTAAAAAGTGTTTCGGCGGAAAAATTTTGACGCTCAAGTCAGTAATCGCTCGTGGGATGATAGCAAACTATATGTTGTAAGCGTAAGATATGTGTTATGTAAAAGTAGAACCTGATCACCCTTTATATAATCGGGTGATTTGCTGCCCAAATAGAGTTTTTGATAGGAAACAAATCCAATCGTATTTACTTTTTTAGCTTAATACGTCTCTGATATCTTAGACTCTTTAACGAGATACACTTAATTACCATCCTTTAGTAGAATTATATCTCCTCTTACCATACGACTCTTATGCCCTCAGATCGCCTCCGCGACCTCGCGCCCTACTTGCCATAGACTGTTACCAGGTTGCAACTACGACCTTCACTTAACGACCTTCAGGTCATGATCCATTCATCTTCCCGAGCTCCTAGATGAGCTCGACCTCAAAGTCTTTTGACCGGGTCGACGTAACTCGAGCTGCCAACCTTGACGAGGTTGTTATAGTTCATTTTACTAAAGTCAAATCGAAAGATTCAAAACCCGAGTTGTATATCGCAAGGAATGCCAACCAGATTATTTTGCACGTGTATTCAAGCACAAAAACAAAATTAAATCCTAAACTCTCTAATTCGGATTGGTTGAATTTTTTATTAACTACTAAAGATTTCAAAAATTGCAAATACTTAGTTATCTGCTTTCAAGCAAGATTCAAATATCAAGAAAAGGGCTAGGGAGTTGGGAATAATTGTTCTTAACTTTGAACGTAAACATCACACACTTAACCAGTCGGTTAAAGGTTTCTATTAACCTACACGTCTAGAGATTTAAACTAAATTATTTTTCCTAATAAGAGGACAAACATAAAGGACACGAATCAACAAAACCAAACAACAGGTAGGCAATACAATCACAAATAAGCCTACCTTATACGACCCTTGGTCGAACAACTCTTTCCTTTCGGTTCTAAAACTTGTTTAGTTGGATTAGAAGGTGATCAATCATTTGAACCTAGGAATAACGTAACTCGCATAGAATGAATTGTTCTCAAAAGCATGATAAACACATGAAAATGAACAATCATCCCTGGCGAATGAATTTAACTAGTCGTATCGAAATTAACACAAATAGTTAATTCAACCATGAAATTCACATCCATTGATAAAATGCAATTAAAAACTTACGATAAAAAATATAAGTCAAGTGCTAATCCACAATTACAATCCCAAAAAATTGAATCATTTTTGGATTGTCACTCTCCATGATCAAAATCAAGATAGAATATTGTTCAAAAGATAGAAAAACTAAGAAAAAAAGGTATGGAATCCTCCCTAGGGTTCGGTACGAGTTTCAATAAATAAGGATTCTAAATTCAAAACTGAGTCGCGACCTCTGCGAGTCGCGGTGAATTGACCGCGAGGTGCTTTGCAGATGCAAGTCTGGAGTGCAGATTGGTCTGCGGGCCTCGGAGCCTCCGTTGGTCGTGGAGAAGAAGAAAGTTGTCTGGGTGACGGGCGCTTGCAGACTGGGCGATAGACGTGCTGCCTCGGCAACGGGCGCGCGAGGTTAGACGACGGGCGTACAAGGAAGGCACGCTGCACGAGGACAGAAGACGGTGCACGAGGCTTGGGCGACGGGCACGCGGGCTAAGTGACGAGGCGTGTATGTGGTCGTGACTCGCATTGCTCGTGTTCTGCCTGATGTGGATAGTTGGTTCCCGCTTGTTTGGGTAAAAAAAAGGTAGAAAGAGATTCCCAAAAGTTATGAAACGTGGGATGTACTTGCACAACTGGGACAACCATGTTCTCTCCAGACTGGTCGAATTCCCAACATCCACTCAAAGCTCCAAACCTATACACCTCCAACAATAAGCAAACAAAATTACTCGATATACAATTACTCCAACATTCTCCATGGAACATCCCTCATTCTAGCCATTTATCTTACCTTTAAACGCTCCGACTAGGTTACTGTGGTCGAGGTCAAAATAGCTACTGTAGTACCCGACCTAGTCAAACTTGTCAAGCCCAATCCTGTAACCTTCTACACAGAGGACCAACTCACCTTTCTCGTCCATGTATGCGATTTTACCCGATTATTGGAACTCGGAGCCCCAAAAATTGGTGAATCCTTCGACCAACCCCCACCAGGCTTTTATTCCTTAGTTGTTGATCAAATCTATGCTGGTCTCAAGTTTCCCCTTTAAAACAAACTCCTAGAGCTTAGTCGGCCTTATAGGGTGCCTATGAACCATTTCACCCCAATTGCGAAGCGAAGTTCAATCAGAGACCAAAAGGTTAGATGCCACTTTCTAGCCTCCTAAAGGAAGTCTTAAAAGATAAGATAACGCTATGCACACAAGCTACTTCAGCTATGCAGTTAGTTCTCGAGTGATTCCCTTTTTCGTTCTCTTTTGAGATTCTTTCTATTTGAATTTGATTTCGAATTGTATTTGTTTGATCAGTTGAATCCTTCATTTTTTTAGCAATAAAGAATGTATCGAAGATGCAATTTTATTAAACGATTCGTGAGTTGTCTGATTGCTGATTATTGAAGCCTCTTTTTCTTTCAATTTGCTCAATTCAACTTTTTTACAAATTTTCTTAATCGAAATAATATTAGTTTTAAAAGTTCTTTTATTTTAAAAATTTGCTCAATTCAACTTTTTTACAAATTTTCTTAATTGAAATAATATTAGTTTTAAAAGTTCTTTTATTTTTCTTTTGAAAACTCTTAGAGCTAGAAAATACGGCTTTTTCAATTTTATTTTTAATATGCGAAAAATAGGTCGAAAAATGGAATAGTTTGTTTGGGGCCAACCAAAAGGAAAGTCGGTTTTCCTTTCCAAAAACTGTTAAATAACAAATATTTTCTTTGTCCTACCGCTGTAATCTTGTGTTCCAAGGTCGCAAACGGAAAGACATAATTATTTTTATCTGAATATCTTCTGGCAAAGAAGGTAGGAAAAGGTTATCATCATCTAATGGCAGTCGTTTCAGTATGTTAAGGGTATATCTGTANAGAACTTTTTTTATTTGATCTATTTGAACTCTAAAGTCAAATTCTTTAACTCAATTAATCCAATTTGAAAATTGGATTAATTGAGTTAAAGAATTTAGAAAATTAGGAGTCTGCAATCAGAATAACATTTTGAATTAGAAATGAATTGTCTAAAATTTGACTCCGTACCATTGAAGAGTTCATTCGCAAGCTTGAAATATTGCCCAAAATTTCAAAGGAATGATTGAAGAATTGGTTTATATAAACCCTTTTTGGATCAAACCACAACGAAAATCCCATTGCCAAAAAGTGATAAGGTAACATTTCAATTTATTCATGAAAAGAGACGTCCCTTTTGAAGCCATTCCATCTGAATTATGGTCAGATTTACCATCCTCAGTCATTGTCTCTTGTACAAACTCGATCCAGATCTGTTCTTTTATTGTTACTGGCCTAAACCCCAAAAGGGATCTTATTACCTCTTAGCGCGTAACAAGGTTCAATTCCTTCTTGACCTACCTTCTAACATGTTTTATTAGAAGACGAAGTACTTCTTCTTTCGACCTACTCCCAACACATTTTGTTACAAGAGTAAATGTTGTGCGACTCAATACTTGGCTAAGGTACAAATTCACCCCTCGTTCTATCACCTTGTAGGTCGTCACTTACTCTGTAGATATGGCTTTGTTTCATGCAGTTCATGTCGGCTATTTTTCGTATCTTGGAAGAGGGAACTTTCAGTCCTGTGGATACTCTCTCTTTTTTGCACGAGCAGTTTGAGAAGAAGGAAAAGCGACTAAAGGTCGCAAATTCCCAGCTCGTCGTTCTTCAGGAGAATAACAAGCAACTGGAGGGAGAGACATGACAACTCAAGGTCTAGAATTCTAGGGTTGCTAAGCTCGAACAAGAGAATGCTATCCTAAAAAAAAATTGGACAAACAAATCAGTGACTATGGGACTCTTAGTCGCCATGTAGTCAAGCAAGAGGAGCACCACCAGTCAGAGTCGTTGGAGCGGGAACAGGTGGCTCACAAAGGGAGTTAGAGGTCGTTTCTCCTATCCTTGATGAGATCCATTTTCATGAAGACCTATCGTTGGGAGGTTATGGATCGTTTACTAAACTCTATCGAGTTTTGGATAAGTTAGCTCCAAATGTTGTACAATATTTCAATATCGCTTTTGATGGAGCTAAGAGCGAGTTTTCCTGGTCCGAATTCTCAGGTAGATGTGATTGAGAGATGGCCGAGGACAAGCTAACCTTTCTCGACGGCTGGAATAGTGATCCCCATTTCCCTGCCGACCACCCATGATGGGACGTGGCTGTCAAGGAAGCCATCAGAAGGCCGACTTGTTGAATCAACTCACCAGTCCTCCCAACCAAGTTGCAGGTCGCATGGAACAAGTCGGTGCTGGCGAGGTCACTCCTCCAGTCAACTGGGATGACATTATCTAGTAGCTGCTATTTTGCATATTCTTTTGGATGTAACTTTCTAAGGTCGTGATGACCACCGAATGTTTTAACTCTGTTAGCTTGTCTCTCATTAAGATTTAGGATGTTTGTAAGGTTGCACCGACCATGGAATATTTGTTCTATTTAGCTCATTTTTTTGTATTTTATTATAAGCTTCATATTCCTCTATTGTTTTGTAAGGTAAGCTTCATTTACTCCAAGTAGCTTTAGCCGCGGTTTACTCCAAGTAGTTTTAGCTAGCGAGTGACTCGCAACTAATGTATCCCTGAGTAATTTAGTTTGTACTCAATGTTTTATATCCTTCTTGCCCCACCCATTTCGCGAGCTGCTCAAAGTTATAACTAGTGACCATCTAACCAACTTAAGAGTTGTTTAAACAAAATTATTAAATTAGGTTCTCCCTCAACCAAACTTGTGATCTATTCAAATTTGGAATCAGGGAGTATTTAGTCAGCTTAAGAGCTATTCGAACTAAATTTTTAAATTAGGTCCTCGCCCAACCCAACTTGCGAGTTTTTCAAAGTTGGAATCAACGAGCATTTAGCAAGCTTAAGAGCTTTTCGAATCAATTTTTTGAATTAGGTCCTCACCCAACCTAGTTTGCGAGTTGTTTAAAGTTGGAATCAGCGAGCATTCCATCAGCTTAAAGTTCTTCGAACTAAATTTTTAAATTATCTCGCCAAACCCAGCTTCCACGTTATTCAAAGTTGAAATAAACGAGTATTTAGTTAGCTTAAGAGCCGTTTGAACTAAAATGTTAAATTAGGTCATCGCCCAACCTAGCCTGCGAGCTGTTCAAAGTTGTACTTAATTAGTATTTAGCCATCTTAAGAGCTGTTCGAACTAATTTTGAAATTAGGTCCTCATCCAACCAGCTTGTGAGCTACTCAAAGTTGGAATCAACGGGCATTTAGCTAGCTTAAGAGCTTTTCGAACTAAATTTTTAAATTAGGTCCTCGCCCAACCTAGCTTGCGAGTTGTTCAAAGTTGGAATCAATGAGTATTTAGCCAGCTTAAGAGATATTCGAGCTAAATTTTTAAATTAAGTCCTCACCCAACCCACCTTACGAGCTGTTCAAAGTTGGAATCAACGAGCATTTAGCCAGCTTAAGAGCTATTCGAACTAAAATTTTAAATTAGATCCTCGCCCAACCCAGCTTGTGAGCTGTTCAAAGTTGGAATCAACGAGCATTTAGCCAGCTTAAGAGATATTGAAGCTAAATTTTTAAATTAATCCTCACCCAACCCAGCTTACGAGTTGTTCAAAGTTGGAATCAACGAGCATTTAGCCAGATTAAGAGCTATTCGAACTAAAATTTAAAATTAGGTCCTCGCCCAACCCAGCTTGCGAGCTGTTCAAAGTTGGAATCAACGAGCATTTAGTTAGCTTTAGAGCTATTCAAATTAACTTCTTAAATTAGGTCCTCGCCCAACCCACCTTACAAGGTGTTCAAAGTTGGAATCATCGAGCATTTAGCCAGCTTAAGAGCTGTTCGATCTAAATTTTTAAATTAGGTCATCGCTTAACTCAGCTTGCAAGCTGTTCAAAGTTCGAATCAGCGAGTAATCAACCAGCTTAAGAGACGTTTGAACTAAAGTTTTAAATTATGTTCTGCCCAACCCAGCTCGCGAGTTGTTCAAAGTTGGAATTAACGAGCATTTAGCCAGCTTAAGAGATTTTAAAATTTAATTTTTAAATTACGTCCTCGCCCAACTCAACTTATGAGTTGTTTAAAATTAGAACCAGCAAGCATTCAGCCATTCAGCCAGCTTAAGAGTTGTTGGAACTAAATTTTTAAATGATGAAGGATATAGTGAAGAAAAATGTGAAGATATATAACGTCTGAACTAGTAATAGCGTTCAAGCGTAAATTAGAAAGTGAATGTTTATTGGCTCATATCATCTTCACATCCATTAAATTAACGATTGACACACATAATTATACAAAAGACTAACAATTAAAGATGCTTAAAGTGGTTTGGATTAGAGCACATTCATTTAAACAAAAGAACAAAGTCAATGGATTCATAGACAAATATCAATAAATTAAACAAACCTTGAACCATGTAAGATATTATAAATTTTACAACTATAAATTAGAATCAGGATAAATTACATTTTTATCAACATTGTAAATATTAATTATATCCACAACGCCACTATATTTGTCATCACATAATCACATTGTATATTGAATGATGTAAATTTATGACATTACTAAAAATTTATAACATTATTAAATGTGTTGATGTAAAATGTAATTTACTATCACAACATTTAAGCGGTGAACATGATAGTAATAATTAACATGTTCAAATTCCATAAAAATGGAGGGGGTCCTATCAATATATATATTGCTTAATCAGTATCATATATACAGTTTAATGAAAAATAAGCAAACGACTTTAAATTTGATAGAGCCCCTACACGCGTGAACAGTAATATAACATTAAATGTTGTGTACAATATCGTTTACCAGTCATGTACCATATTTTATTTGTAAAATAAACAATACTAGTACGAAATAACATCTATCTTTTATATATATAGAAAATCATGTTTCCTTTTAGAAAACGGGATTCTGAAAATATTGTCCTTTTTTTTT